TTCGTATAGTTATTTTACATTAAATTTTATTTGCTTTTCAATTCTAAATTCTTAATTTCTAATATTTATAATAAATTTTTCTTTTTATTTGAAGCATTGTTTGTTTTTTTTTCTTTTTGATATTTTGTAAATATTTACATAATTATTATTATTTTTTTTCAAATTTTCCTATTTATTAACAAATTACTTTTTCTAATCGATTTTTAATTTTTCATGTTATTTTAAAAGAAATTTACACTTTTAGATTTTAAAAGAAATTAACCAAGGGGTTATTTAAGTTTTACTGTCATCATCGTTTTATTTATTTACGAAATATGCGTTTATATTTAATTAAAATAATTAAATGGTAACGTATGTTGATCTACTTCCAACAAATTTAATCTATTTTTTAAAGAACGTTTAAAAGCTGTTGTAGCAGACGTTAAAAGGCTAGTATAGGAGCACCAAAAATTGTCATTATGTTTAACTTTCTGATTTTAACCACACCGATCGGGTCAAAAGAAGCAAACGCAAGATAAGAAGACCAAATTTGATGTGATAAAATTGCAAATAATTAAATATTGATTTTTTTTTATTTTATATTAAATTTTGATAAAAAATTAATTGCAATAGTAAATAAGAACTTTTGGGCCATTAACTAAAACTTAATATGTACGAGTATACCATTTTCTAAACAATATTAATAAAAAAAAAATAATCTCAATATTAAATAAAAGCTTTTGGTGCATTAATATCGCGCTTATATTTCAAAATATAATTCCAATCTATTTTCAAATTTATGTAAAAAATAATTATTCCAGATCATATTTGTAGAGGCTTCCCTCTTTCGAAGGGAAAAATTTTTTTCAAAGTGTTTAGTGTTTTTAGCTAAACAATTTGTTTGTTGGTTTTATTCTCGTCACAAGATGAAAGATTAAAAACTAATATTTGTATTGAAATAATTTAAAATAGTTGCGAAATAATCATTGTTGAATAATAATTAAATGGATTTAAAAAAAAACAAATCACGTTAAAAAGAAAAATCAAACGACATCATAATTTTCTTATGTTACGAAAAATTATTATTTATTTTGAGAAACGAAAAACAAATTTTCTTTCATGGAATCGTTTACAAACCACTGATCATTCTAAATTTTTTTATGAATTTCCTTTTACATGTGGATCACTAAAAAATTTATTGTTTTATTAGAGTATTAGAGATGTAGACACTAAGTGTTCTTTTTTGTTTTGACGCATAGTCATTATATCGCCCTTAATTAATATGAATATAAAAATTTGGTGGAAAACATAGTTAACTGCTAATTTATTGTTAAACAAAAAATAATAAGACCTTCATAAATATATTATAATAAACACTGTTAACCTCATTATAAATTTAGCCCTATTTTTCATATAGTACCAGTAAACTCTAGTTGAATCAATGTACTTACTGAGAAATTGATTTCTAAAAAAGTTATTTGCAAAATATGATGAAAAGATACATATATATTTTTTTAAATCTAATTATTATATATGTACATAAATAAACCGAAATCGGTAAAGCAGGAAAATTCAAAGGTTTTATTATTAAAAATATATTTTTGTAGAAGAAGCATTCATGAATTGTAAAGGGATAATTTGATTTAAGTATGTTTAAGGCGAAACTTCGAATATAAAACAGAAAGCGAAATTTCTCTTTCAAATTATTGAAAAATTTTTATTTCCAAACGTTTCAAAAAAAAATTTTAATTTCATTCACCATTTTTTTTTTTGTCTTGTTCATTCATAATATAAATTTGGTTTTTGATATGTAATTTTGAAATATATTTCTAATATGCTTAATTTTCATTCTATAACACTGGAAATATATTGCACACTGAAAAATATTACATTACCGAATCTTTATCAGGTTTCATTGAATCTTTTTTTTTATATACCTATGCACACATATCGTCGGTTAAAAAGCAGAAAGCATTAAGTCAGGAAACTTAGTTTTGAGTAAAATTTGAAAAAATCGTAAAATTGTAAAACTAATCAATTAGTGCAATTCGATTGGTCTCTTTGATTTCTGGATTTATAAACTATATTCTGGATTTGCATGATTTTATTATTCTGATTTAATTCATCTATGAAATCCGAATTCTCAAAAAATGCACTTAGTGCTTTCTGCTTTTTAACCGACGATGTTATGTATACCCAAAAACTTTGCTTTGCATCCTTTCAAATTGCGTCTTTTTCGAGAAGTTGAAAAATTTATTTGCAAAATGCCTTAGGCAATTCAGTAAACTTTACACAATATTTTAATTAGTTTATTTTTAAATGAAATTCTTGTTAAAACACATTGTTTTATCCATTTTTTATTAAAAAAATTTTGATTTCTTCATGAAATATTTCTCATTCTAAAACCAATTAATAAAGGACTAGTACAGTTACCAACGAAAATCGAGGTTTTGGTTATTATATACGTGATAAATTCAGAGTAAATGTGTATGCTTAAAATGGAATGTTTTCAAAATTATTTGCGTGGTTTTCACAATTTTTCATTAAACTTTTTATGAAATTTTAAGACCTTTCAAAATATTTAATAATTTAATATTTAATTAAATAATAAATATTATTATTTAATAATAAATATTTAAATAATAAGTAATATTCAAACCGAAATATAAAATAATCTATCAAATTGTGCATATAAAGAATTTCATTAAAATTTAATAAATTTTAACAAAAATTAATAGAAAGAATTTTTTAAAATCATCGGAAAATCTGTTCGTAATGCGACTTCTGTTATAATATGTTATATAAAATTGCTATACAAATATTAACGCATCTTAGTTTTTAAACAAAAAAAGGTAATCTAAAATAAAATTGCGTACTTATTGATTGTATTTTGCGCAGTAAGTCTTAAAAAAAATTAATAAATGATTAATTTTATTTAAAAAAGAATAAGAAAGAATAACTAGCAAAATAAAAGAGTTGAGTATGCATATTTTTTTTATAACATTACCTTATACTTAGTGATTACAAATCATAATAACGTGTATTAAAATATACACAGAATAAATATTAGCTAACCATTAGCTTTAAGTTTAATACGCACGCAATAACTTTCCACATTTCAAATTGTAGAACAGAGATATTCATTTAATTCGACGATTTTAGTTTAGTTGTAATACATTGTTTTTTTTTTATTTTTTAATACAACAAAACTTGTGCGACATAATTAGTGATTTTTTTATTTATAACGAAAATTTGAAGCATTTTGGTTAAATATTTCATCATAATTTATAATAACGAGTTAAATCTTTTCAATGGTGCATTTATTTTAAAAAATATTTAATTAGTTTTTATTCTCTAATTATTTGCAGATTGAATATATCAAAATTTAAATATCATTTCTTATTAATCTAATACTAAAACTAAAACTAAAAAAGATATTTTAAAAGAAAGTTAACCGTTTTCAATAATATTATTTTAACGCTTAAAAATTATGTTAAAAATGTGGTTACTTCTATTTTTAACCTTTTTCATTATTTTTTTTTTCTTTTTGTTGTTGCTAGATTTAAAATTGCTTGTATTCCCTTACTGATAATTTACAATTATTAATTGATTATCCAATTGAAAAAATTGTTTTTTCTTTTTATTCAAATTATAAAAATGATTGTATTTAAGAGTATATTTGATTATTTCAAAATAACGAAAAATATAAATTCAATTTTTTTAAATCTCTGGGATAAATAGTATGACAATATATAAAAAAATATTATAATACAATTATTTTAATAGATGAAATTGATTTATACATTTAAAGAAACAAAAAGATTTATACATAGCAATATAGGGCGTAACCGACAATGTAAAATGCGCGTTCAATTCTTTTGCATCTTAATCGATTTTGCAGTTAAGCAGAAAGCATTGTAACTTGTAATGTTGTCAACAGGTTTGTGCATTTGTTGTGTAACCGACAAAGCAAAAAACAATTGTCAATGAAATTAATAATTTCGATTATCAGCCAGATTGTTTAAATGGTATTTGTGTAATATAAGAATTTCAACTGCTGACTTAATTGAAAATTTTGAAAAAGATAAGTTTTTTTTTTTAATTTTTGAAATATTCAATTCAAAAATAATTTGTTGCCAAAGCAGTTGTCTAACGATTGCATGCAAAAATTGCATCCGAGCATTGATATGTAAGTTACGAGCATTGAAATATAAATTGTTAATTGCCAAATGGTGACCGCCAGATGCGATTTTTGTCGACCAACATTTGACATTATCGTTTACACCTATATTTAAATATACTATTATCAATGAAAACAATGAAAAATATTCAAGACGAATCTTTAGTTTCAAAATAAATTAGGTTAGAGTTAATAGAATATTAATATTTCTGTAATTTACTTTTAATAACGCAAAAATTTAAACATGTTTGTATTACAAATGACACGATTTATTTCTTTCTTAAATAATTTAATCTTATTTTTTTTTAAAGTATTTTTTAAAAGTTATATGCTATTCTCTAATTTGAGCTACTAATTATTTACCTGAGTAAAAATAAGCTAGATTTTGCATTTGTACAAAACAAAAATGTATTAAATAAAAAAGGAAAAAATATATAAACTTCAAAACAAGAAATTATTATAAGTGTGGGCAAAAGGAATTAACACTATTGTTTGTATAAAAGTTATCGTGCGTTTTGTCCTTTAATATTTTATAATACAAAGTCTTTAAATTTTAATAATAATCAGCAATAATTTTAATTTTTTCTTAAATAATTTAAATATACATATGTATGTATTTGCACATATTACCAATGAATGAAAAAAGTATTTTTTGAAAAGTAAGTCATTTGATAAATTTTCAGGAATTTAAAACTTTAGTGTAATAATCTAATTAGATTATTAAATGAAAATGTTAAATTCTATCAGAAATTGGAAATTTTCTATTCAATTTTGTAATAGTTTTTTAAAATCATATTCTCAATTGAAATTTTGATAATTTATTAAAAATTTAATCCTGACACAAAAAAGTAAATATATGTATAAAAAGATATTTTTAAGACGTACTAAATAGTTTACCAAACTGATTAGAATAGCATGAATTTTTTAAGGAATGTCTTCTTTCATTCAAAAAATTATCATATAATATAAAAGTTAAATTTTACAATTTTTGTTTTAACAAGGCCCTTTAAACAAATTTTTTTCTATTTAGTAATAATTTAATTAACATATTTTCGTAATTACCCTCGTTTTTGTTTTTCAACTTATCTTTTTTAATTCTTTTGTAACTCCAAACAAAATTTAAAATATGTTTATATTTTTCTCTGTTTTAATTACATTTTATTTATATATATATGTACATAATAATCCTAACCCTGTGTTATTTGATTTTCAACCTTACGAATTTGTTCCTGTAAATCTTTACTATACTTCTCCATCTGTTTAATATCATACGTTATTTTTTCTAAATTGTTTGATACATTACGTGATTTCTCATTTTCAATTTGGTCTTCTAAATCACGTACTTCGCGCATTACAGAACCAGTTTCCTGTACTAAGCGAACTAATTCACTACAATCCGAATGTAATGTTGCTAATAGTTTATACGCTTTTTTTGAATATTCATCACGTTTGGCAGTCTAAAACATAACAATTTTTCTTTAACTTCACGTTCTTTAACTTCAGTATATAAAAATCTTAAAATAATACTTACTTTAAAAAGTAAATCATCAGTAACAGTAAATTGACGATCCAATTGACCACTTATATTATTTATTTGTTTTTGTAATTCTCTTGTATCACGAAGAACTTTATCAATGTCATTTTTTTGCTTCCTAATATTACCAACAATTTCTAATATTCGAGTTGTATAAGCGTTTCTTAAATTTATAGTTAACTAAATTAAGCACAAAATGTAAAATTAAAAAAATAAACTTACCGACTAACAGTTTTATCTATATTTGCTAATTGGACAACTAATTGCGAATGAAGTGTTGATTTCAGTTTCAAGTCTTCAGCTAATTCTGATTGTTTATCTCTAATATTTCTAATTTGGTCCATTACTTGCGACTAAAAAAAATATGAAAAATTTTAAATATAGAAAAATTTTTTTATTGTCTCTGTATTCAAAATAAAAAAAATAAAATTACATTCACGTTTGCATTTTTTGCTCTAGATTTTTCCAATGCAGCTACTAACGGTTTACGATGTTCTTCCCATTGCAATTGTAATTTTTTCAATCTTTCGTTTGTTGCAGCAATAATACTTTCCATTTTGGCAATATTAACATCGGGATTTTCCAATAATATGTTGGAGCGTTCTTTTATCTTCCTTTCGCTTTGAATTTCAGATAATTGTGCCTCATGTTCAACACGAACTTGTTTCATTTGTGTTAATTCTTGTTGAATTTCCTTCCGTTTCGCTAACAAATCGTCAATTGATTTTTTTAATTTTTCTACATCTAAATTTAAACTTTCTAATGGACTATATGGCTTAATTAAATTGACATTTTCTTTTTGATTGTTGTTTAATACTTTATGGGTCGATGATGGTGATGATGATGATGATTGCACCATTTTAGATGTTGATGCTTGTTGTTTTAGTAATTTACTATCACTTTGAGTTTTATGTATTGTTAACTTATTATCAATCAAATTCTCGGATGTGGTATTAATCTTTTGTGGTATAACGTAATTTTTACGTTTCGAAATAATTTTTTGCAACAATTCCTCAGTACGATCATAAACATTAACACTATTTTCATTTTTATCATAATAACAATCGAGATCATTTTTGTGTATGACTGTTGGACATATATTTAAAATATTTGTTTGTTGAAATATATTAGGCGAACGTTTCAACCAATAATTACTTAGTTCGGGTGGAATAACTTCTTTAGTTTTATCTAATTGATTCGGAATATTTATATTTAATTGAGGCTTAAATTTTGCTCCACTTGAGTTGAGAGAATAAATTTTTGTATTAAAATGTCGAATACCATATTTATTGCAATAAGAAGGTACCCATGGACTGTTCAGTTGAATACGCATATTATAATAAATTTCGTGCTCTATTTGGGTTAGCTTATCTAAAAATTTGAAATAAAAATTTAAACATAATTTTGCTGTATTCTGGAATGCCGTTATATTTGATAGAGCTTACCAAGTGGTTGTGTACTTATAGGCATTTTTTCCGTTTCTTTTGGCAAACGTTCAATAAGGAACATAAAAACTCGCCTAACCTCTGTAACATTTGAGTAAAGAAATGTTTGGTAGCCTATATCACCACGAAAACCAACACTCTAAAATAAAATAGTAAAATTTTGCTATAATTAAACATTAAATTTCTCCCAAAATATTATAAAATATAAAAATAAAATATCAAAATAAAAAGAAATACATTCTGAATTATTGAAAAATTAAGAATATATACATGTATTGTTTTTAAACAGTGTTAAGAAAAAAATCAATACATAAAGTGTCTTTAGCTATTTCTTTTATGTAGGTAGGTACTATAATCATGGATAGACATACCTGAACTGCTTCTGCAAGTGTTGATGACACACTATAATATAAAACCAAAATTAAATTATTTCAAAAATGATGTTACAAAAAAACTTTTAATTGGGTAAATAATTTTAAAATTTCTCACCTAAATCTCTGTGCCATATTTGATGGTAAATTTTTTGGCAAATTGGAACTAGGCTTTATCAATTGTAAGCATTTTGATACGGTCTCTACAAGAAGTTCGGGCGAAAAACTTGATAAACTTATCACATCATCATCTATATTACTATAATAAAAAATTATTTTTTTTTGGTATTGAAAGGGGTGTCAACTTGATTATTATCAACTAAATTTAAAGTACTTTACGAAAATCTTACCATCCTATTTGTTTTAGGGAATGAATTATTATGTTATCTACTTCATCCATTGTTTAATAAATAAAAATCTAAAAATATTACTCTAATTTAAATAATAATAAAAAAAAATATTTTAAAATTGAACATTTATTTGCACAAAATTATAATACACTTTTTTTATTTATTTTTCTTAGGTCGATTTAAATGTCAAATTGACATTTTATTGATGATTAGAACCTTATTGCCAAAAATTTTGACATGAGTCAACCGCATCAAACAAAATTAGCGTTCATTAGCGACATCTTGTACATTTTTTTTTAAGTTGCAATACAATATTCTTTTTGCCATTAGCCCTTATTATGAAAAAAATACATTGTACAATATACGATAATTCTAATAGCAACTCTGTCAGAAATATCGTGTATCGTATGATATATTATGTTTTTCATAATAAGGGCCATTATTTTTTATAATTTTATTTACTAAATATCGAATAAATCATGTACTTTTAGTAAAGCATAATATTCGTGAAATATATTTTTTACTGAGAATAGGCATCAGAATAGGCATTACTAAGAATAAGCATAGAGAATATAGGCATTGTAATTTCAAATGAAAAGAAACGGTACGGTGTCGCCATTGAAAATAAAAAATTAATGATACAAATTTTTATCATTCACTTATTTTTTCTTTGGCGAAAAGTAGTTTTTGGCTTCCCCTCATTTTTTCTCATATTAATTTTTTTGTGACAAAGAACCTATTATGTAAAAATATTTCCCCGTTTTTTAAATTTGTAGGTTCTATGTTAAAATTAAACTTTAAATAAACGAAAAATAGGAAATTCCCAGAGTATACAAGATATTTATTTATGTTTAAATTGCCAATAAGATTTAATTGACAAAATACTTTTTTTATAATTTTAAGACACTAAAAAATATTTCGGAGTAGAATTTTGGTAAATCGAAATTTCAGGGCTACGAACGGAATTCATGAGGGTTGTCTTGCTTAACTTGTAACTGGAATGATGTCGTTTCATTCACTGGTTGATTCAAAAATTTCATTAACTTATTTAAAAATTTTTTAAGAATTTGTATTCTTGCTTAAGCGTAAGCATCCTTAATTTTGATGAAAAAAAAAATTTTACACTGCCTGCACTCTAACAACTGAAAATTCAGTTCTTAGACTTACAACCTTGAAGCTTTAAAACTCCAATGTACATTTTAAATTATCAGTTGTAATTTTAACAACTTAATGTTCATAAATACAGATTTCCCCCTTCTTTGAAATATACATACCATATATTTCCTAGTCCCCTGGTACCTATTAAATTATTGAGTTTTAAACTTTATTGAAAAGATGTGAAAACAAATTTTAATTAATCTTTTATAATCCGTCACCAAAGCACCGTTTTTTTTTTATTTTTATGTTAAACAAAAATTTAATTTTTTTTTACATATTTGCTAAGCATCGATAACTATTTTATATTACATTTTAAACATACATACATATATACACAAATGTAACGTTTCCAAAATGAAAGAATCGAAAATTTTCACGTTCATTTATTAATTATATATCATAAAACTGAAATTAATTAATCTGTTTTGAAAAGTGACTAAATGACAATATAACTACAAAAACTCGTTAATAAAAAAATACGAAAAAACATACATAAGTTACTAAATTTAACAGATAATATATTTTAATAAGCGTGATAACTGAATTTTAAATTATAATTGGTAAATTTTTTGTTGTCAACTTTTTGCTACTGCTTGTACTGACTGGCGATAAAGCTCGATTTCTCCGTATTTCCTTTTTGTTAATAAGAGAAATTTGCCCAGTAACATTTGATTTTGATGGTGTTGCTACTAATTTTAAAATTGCGGATGCATTCTTTCGATTTATAGTTGTGTTCTCAATATTTCCTCTTTTCCGACGCATCGATATTGTACTCTCGTTGCTGTGCATTATCGATGATCTACTTGTTGGTAAAATATATTCCTAAGTAATTTCAAATAATTTATATTTAATAAAAATAGTCTTGAATAGGTCTATAATCTTTATAAGAACTAAATTTTCAGCTGTTGGTATAAAAAAACTATGCATTACTAAACTTTGTTTGAAAAATAAATTCAAAATATTGAAATGAAAGAAAAAAAATATTCTTAGAGATAATAGTTTACAGAAGGAAAGTCAAAATCTGATCAAAAAAATTAATTGATCAAATCAGTTGAGTATTTAATACCTCAAAACAATCATAACTTGTAGCTTCGGATGAAGAGTAGGTAGTTACATCATTTACTTTTATTTTAGGCGGCAAATCCTCCTTCATTAATTTATTCTTGGAACGACGCTTTTTATTATTACTTAAACGAGCCGACTAGTTGTTGCAAAAGGTAAAAATTAAGTAAATTTTAATCGTTATGTAAAAAATGAAATATTCCATATACACATTAATTTGATATATACCTTTCTTCTAATAGTTGTTCCAATTACAGGCTTTAATCTTTTTAAGGGGGCTTTAAATGGAGTTTTCGAAGCCTCCAGTTCTGAAACCAAATTGCGCTTAGATGAAGGTAACAACTTTTCGTTAAACGGTAATTTTCTTTTGCTAGAACTTAAAATATAAAAAGCAATGGATCAATAATTTATATCAGCTTTCGAAAACACAAGTAGTATCTAAACATTTTCCAAAAGATACCTGTTAAAAGTGCCTACTGCCAATTTTGCTGCAGATAATGTTCTAGTCATTCCACTCGGAACAGATAAAGCAGTACGAACAGACATATTTCTGCTTTGTGTTGGCGTGGCTGCATTTTTACGAGCGCTCATTTGTTTTTCCTTTTTTGTTTTTTTCTCCTCCCATTTCAACCTGATTATTTCTAAAATATCATCCCCAAAAACTGTAAATTTGCGACCATTTTTCATCTCATACTGCACTACTAGTTCTTTTAATTGTTCTTCAATTTTCGGAAGTTTGTTTGATATGGTTTTCCGTTCTTTTTCTTCTTTTAGGAGCTGACCACCACGATTATTATAACGACCTGGCTCAAGAGCTTTATCCTCTAAAGCTTCCATGCGATTCCACAATATACTTCTCTCTCTAATTAAGTTAAATATTTGCCTATCAAAAAAAAAGAAAAACATTCAAGCTTTGCTTCAAAAATATTATTTTTACGTACTCATTATCTTCATAAAATCGTTTTAATTCTTCTAGTTCAATTTCGTGCAGAGCCAATAAATCTTCGGTATACCAATCGTTTGTAAAATGTGTAAATCTAGAGCGTTCTGCATCTGATTTCATAGTTTTTTCCCACCACTCAACTATTTCTTGGCGACATTTATCAACAAAAAATTTAATGTTTTGCCTTTTAATAGCCTCGCAGCGATTTAATTCTTTGTATAGAAAGTCATAAGTGGTTTGTGAATAACCAGTATATTTAGAAAATTTGGCCCGTCTTTTAGGGCTTGCATTAATGCAATCCCAAATTTTTTCCAGCTTTTTTTTAATACTATCAATCGACTCTCGTGTTTCCTCCATTTGATTTATATATTGTTCACGTAAGTCCTTTAAACGGTTTATATTATACTGTGACAGTGCAAGTGATCTGTCATTTATCAAGCTACATTTATGATTTATATAAAATAGAATTATAGTTAGAACAATTACTAAATAAAAAAGTAAATCATATAGCTAAAAAAAAACTCACTATTCTTCTTCATCTGTTCTAATTGGCATTTCAAGTTCCTCCATAAATGATTTAATATCCTTACGATAACTTGCCATTAGGTATATTCGATTATTTTTTTCTCCTTTTAATGTATCAAGATGCAATCGGAAATCAGCCAGTTCATCTTCTGTTGGTAGAGGATCATCAAGTAATGGCCGAGGATTTTCACATAATTCTTCACACAGAATTTCTTGTTCAAGAAGAAGCTCGACAATTTGATCTTTACGTTTTTTCAATTGATTTCGAAGCTCTTGTAATCTCTCATCTAAACGTATTTGCACGATATAAAGCGGAACATTTTTTTGAGGACTTAACGTCACATCAACCTTTAGCAATCTCCGAAGATTTGAAGCTTCATCATGTAAATCTACAACACAATAAAACAGTACTTTTTCATTGTTTTTTCAAAACCCAGTTCAGTACACATTGTAGCCGCTACATATTATACCAACCTTGATATTTATTTTAATTACAGTTAAACGCTTACCTTTTATAGAATTACGAATAATTTCTTGTCTATCTTTTGTTTCTTGAATTATTTCATCATAAAATAGTTTAACATGCTCAGGTAGTTTTTTTATATTCATCTCACATGTAGTCAAATCAAAAGTCTCCATCCATAGCCGTCTCAGAGTCGCAGTAGTATCTAGAGATAATTGTTGTACTTCTTCAATTACGCGGGCCCTACAAAAAAGAAAAGTAATTCTTTATACTTTTCTTATTTTGAGTAAAACTTTTATTTTTTTTTCTTACTCAGCTTCATTGAAAGATTCCATTTCAATTTAATATATATATATTATTATAGAATTTAACAGTATGTAAATTAAAAATTAAATTATGTTCTAATATTTTGATTTTTTTTTTGTTTTAAGATTCAAGATCACATTCCCACAACCCAACTACTTAAACCAAGTAAATGACGTGAATGTCCGTTGATCTATATTTTGAAAATTGAAATACAAACTAAAAATTATTGTATATGGTTACTGGGCAACATTTTATTTGTTTGTAATATTTATTGGGCTTTTTTACTTATTACTTGCAGGCTCCACTAGTCACGAACTATGACACGTCAAAATTTCAACTTAGGAAAATCAGAAGCAATTTAAAATAAATAATGTCATAATAGAAATCAATAAAAATAATATAAATTATTATAATTTTATTACGTTTTTAGCTAAATGATATAAAATTTAATAGAATTCAGAAATGTAAATATACATTCAGTGCAAACTAATTTTTCCGAAATGGATTCTTTGTTGCCGAGGTTAGAGTTTTTATAAGCAGAATTTTGGAAAATTTGATATTTTTAAGCCTTAAAAAATTTAATGTATTTTATGTATATAAATGTACTGTCGCGTTAAAAGAATGATCTTCCAGGGGTACCAAATGCTTTTGCAAATTATGATAAGAACAAAAATTTTTTTATCCGTTAGAGAAATTTCAACTTTAAATTTCAAAAGCAAATTAACTTAAAAGAACAATTATTTTCTTCAATATCATATTTATTGAGAAATTTCATACAAAAAAAATTACAACAAAGCGCTCTGATAAATTGGTTCGCTCATTTGACAATCACGGCGGAGCCAAAGATGTCAATCTTTTGTGTAAAAATTTATTTCAATGTAGAATCATTTTGAATGTAGCTTACAAAAAATAGTTAATTTGTAAAGTACTACTTACTTTTTATATAAATTATAATTAAAGTGTAAAACTGTACCTATTTTAATTTGCAAAATATTATAGAAACTCGCACATAATTGATCAAGGACTCGAAATTTTGTTTTTGATCATTTAAGGGCAAATTTTAAATAAATTGAAAACATATAAAATTTACCAAAAACATAAGTAAAATACTGAACAGCTAATTTTGCCGTTACGCTGATGTTTGGTTTTAATAGCGCAATTGTTCTGTTTTTAAACTTATGCAGCGCATTCTTTTTGCTTCGAAATTTTAACATCAAAATAAGCGCCCAGCAGAAAGTTACTTGAACATATAAATTTTTGTAACAATCAGGGCTTGGAAACCGAACTAAGGGCCGAATTTACATTTTTTATCTTATCTATGGAATTAATTGAAGGAATTTCTTGAAATTTGAGTTCTGATTTTTACCAAAATTAACTCGAGAATTACCAAATTTACAATTTCCTAGGTATGTTAATCAAAAGCTTACTAACGCCCTAAAAATTGGAAAGAAGTATTTAAAAGGCATTTTTTTAATAATCTGTAACACTTTCACTTAATTAGACAATATATGTATGTACATTGCGTTCGGTTATGTGCTGATCACAATAGATTTTTTTAATTAAAACAAGCATTTTTGCAAATCAATATTTCCAATTTATTAATTTCTTTCATATTCAATATTTTATTGTTTATCTAAATTAAAATTATAAGATAGTAATTCTAACACTATATAAAATAAAATAATTAAAAAATTAATATTTAACAAATTCTATTTTAGGTAGGTAGTAATTCAAGAAACATAAAAAAATAACAAGTATTTAATTATTTTATAAATAAATAAAAGTGTAGAACACAAGATTATATATGGAATTTTTGAAAAATATATAACAAATCATTTAAAATATGTATAAATTTGATTAAAACAAATTATATTATTTTAGGGATTCGCTATCTATATATCGGTTTTTAAAATTTAAATACATATATATGTATATATCTATGTATGGATATGTTACGAATTTTCGTAATGTTAATTACATACTTCAACATGCTACAGGCTTATTAAATTTCTTGAAAAAAACTTTTGCCAGAAAGGTTAAATTTTTGTAAAATCATGCAGTATTGTGATTAATTACCACTTTCGAAGACCTCTAATGCTTTAGTATGTATTATTTAAAATTTCAAAGAATTAACAAAATTTATCCACAAATATAATAATAATATGTATATGTAAAAAAATAACTATGTATAGAAACATAATGTAAATACATACATTTGTATAATATGCAGATTGAAAAAAAAAACTAAAAACAAATTTGAATAAAATAGCATACACAAAATTAATCCAAAAAAAATCAAATTGTAAAATGTTGTGCAGTTAAAAATAAATTGTTTACAAATCGTATTTTAATTTGAAAAATTCTATTTTTATAAAACTAAAACTTAAGCTCATAATTTTAATTTACAAAGAATTTATCCATTAAATCGGTAATATTTTCGGTTACAAACAAATTTTTTAAGATATTAATTTTTCTTAATATGTTGATATATACAATTTTCATTTATATATATATATACATATATATAATTCATTACATAATATATTGTCACTAATTTTTTTTTTAATAAAAAAAATTTATCTTATAAAATAAAAAGGTTAACTGATTAATTTTTAATGCCTAATTATTATAATAAATTAATTTTTTAAAAGTTTTCTTTTGTTTTAAAATATCTCAACTAAGTATTTAAAAATTTTAAAAATTACACACAATTTGATAAAAAAATTGTAATATTAATAATAGTAAAATAAAAAATTTCTAAATTAAATTCCTCGCCGGACTAAATAATTTTGTTAAACCAGCATCTTCTGCAGCTGATGCAGCTAAAATATCACGATTTTGATCTAATGTTCTGTTTCTACCAGACAAATTCATTGGTGGCAAATTGGCAATTTGAATTTCATGACGGAATAATTGATTTATACTTCGATTAATAAGCTTGAAATGGAAATAACGTTATCAAATGTGTGTAAAAATTGAACAAAAAGAAATTACCTGCGATGTAATTTTTTTGAAAAGATCTTTCTTCGATTTATCAATTTTGTTTCCCTTTGTTTGGCTTGTCGCAATTTTTTCATCTAATTTTTGTAGATCAGCTGAATTTATATTTGGGATACGTTGCATTATTTCAAAAACATTTGGAAATTTTGGTCTTAATATTTCATAGACTTGGACACCTAATGTAATAAGAGGAGACTAAACAAAAAAGCATTAACCTTGTTATTAAAAATTAATATATTTGAAAATTTGTTTTTATTTACTTGGATCGTTTCATGTTGTCCATGAACCTGTAATCCTCTAAGAACCGCTATTAGAGCATTAGTAGCAATTGATGGAGTTAATAATTGCTCTGCAGCTAAATAACGCATTACAGGTGCAGTTAGTTGAACACTTTTAACGCTACAATTACTATCGTTCCAGGAAATAGCACTGAAATTTTAGTATATTTTTATACGGCTATACACGTAAAGTAAAATAATCTCTTTTTGAAAAGAATTGGTATTACCTTAAAATAGTCATAACTAATGAATTACAAATTAGTGGATTTTTTAACAATTTTCCACCTAAATCACTTATAACTTCAGAAGTTAAAGCCGACTGGGTTGCTCTTGTTGTGTTATGCGTAGCGCCATCCATCGACAATTCATCTTGATCCATTGTAACATCGTTTATAATATTAACTTGATCATTTCGATCGATTGATGGGTTAATTGTACCACCAACTAAGGCCACTCTCAATACATCCAAATATTCCCTAGTTAAACTACGATTAAGCATATCTTCAAAAACTTCCTGAGTATCACTAATTTCTTCTGACAGCTCCCCAGATTCATATAGAGCCGTAATATATTGCCATCGATGAGTCAAACGATTTAGCACTGAAATAATTAAATTTTTCTACTTAAGATTCTTAAAATATTTTAAATTACAAATTTACTGAATGGTGACAGATGCGTAAAAATTGGTATTAGAACTGGTTCATGAAATGCTACGGCACAAGAATACACGAATGGTTTAAAAAACACTCTAATAATAGGTCTTAAACGATAGTCAGGTATCAATTCCATACTTGTGAATACACTATTAATCAAAGCATCAGCAATCCCAGGTAATTGATATAAATCGCGTCCTAATGAAGGTCCGGATTGGCCCATTAAATGGTAGCAATTATCAAATAGTTGTGCCATAAAATTTTGCATTTTTTCAAGCATTGTCGGTGGTTTCCTCAAAACTGGATCCATTGGGTCAGACATTATTGGAGGAATCCCCATTAATGACCGTTTTTCATGCTCTAATAAAGAGTGAACATTTTTGTATCCTTCTGACAAACTATTCAGTGCTTCTGGTTTAAAAAGCTCATTTAAAACTCTTAATAAAGATAAAATATTCGGTAGTAACGGTATAATATGCGATGCAGCAGGATTTCGACAAATTGGGTTTCCAGACTCTGTTAAGCCGACAACAAAACCACCACGTGATGCTCTATCTGGATCATCAGGCCAAGTACATCTTTTAAGAACACCAACAACAATGTTGAGGGCATCTAAAATTTTCCCACGATTTTGTGCTGTTGGATCGGTATCCATATCTTTTGCAGGTGGCTTATTTAAACCAACAAAGCTCATAAAATCTAAGGGGGATTTGAAAAATGTTGTTAGTTGAACCCACTGCAGTTGGGCTTCCGCTAAAACTTCTGCGACAAAAGCTGTTTGCCTTTCATAATCGCAAAAGTGATTTGAAATTATCAGAAGAGCTTCATTCAAAGTGGTTTGAGTATTTTTGGTGATTTGATTGCTAGAATTTCTTGCTGCTGCAGCTTGCCTTGCAAAGTTTTTTACAGTGGAATTTATTTGTTCAAAAACTGGTAATAACAGTAAAGGAAATTTTATTGCTAATTTCACCATTAAGGATGCTGAATGACGTCTTAAATTTTTCACAGCTTCACGTTTCGTTATTTTTTTTAGTTCTTTTTGCAAATTAGATGAAGATGACATTTGAATAGGATCGTCATCATCAAACGGATATACTAAAGCAGAAAATATTTTATCCAAAACACGTGGTAATAAACTGACTCCACTCATTGCAACACAGTTTGCTGATGTTAATTGACAACTTGACATACTCAAAAATACAAACAAAGCTGATATACAAGAAAGAACTATTGAAATAATAACTGGATCGTTTGTATTAACTTTTAAGCAGTCCTCTAATAAATTCAAACCCGTGGTCACTGCAGGTCGCTCTGTTACCATTAGTATTCGACTGAGCACACCATCTAAAACCGTTACAAGAGCTTCCCATTCTAAATAAACCGGATCAAATACGCTACAACTACAAAATAAATACTTAAATAATAATATAAATACTTAAATAATATAACGTGACAGATTATACTATACACTTACTTAGTGTTTATTTCGGAATGTGATTTAGCAAGTCTCATTTTTAACCACTGTTCGCAATACCCGAACGTTATGATTGGTGCTATTAAAGTAGTTTGACGAAATATTTCCATAAAATCAGTTCTGGCGCGATGGAAAAATAGAAAGTATTCTTCTTCGCTGTCGTATTCTAAACTAATAAATGATTCAGTAGTCATTGTTATACTTATGGACCTTGAATTCGGATACCCTATTTTAACAATTCTTGGGCCCACAACTTGAATTAATTTTGGAATATAATTTGCCGTATAAGGATCTTTTGAAATTTGGTCGTGTTTTAATAAAATTGTCCAAACTTGAGCTGCTCCATGGGCTACCGTTAAACTAGGGTGTCTGGTAATAATATATAAAGCTTCTAAATATGCAGAAAAATGTTGTGGACGTTGTATAGCACCATCATCTTTGCCCCAAAGAGCGGTTATTAACTGTGCCAAGCCATTAAATACTTGTGTCAATTTTTTTAAAAATGCATGGTTTTGTTCAATTGTAGCACCAAGTGGTGGAGTTTGAGCTGAAGTGTAAATGTAATTCATAGGACTTTCGCTAAACAGAGTCAGTAAAGGTTTCCGGTCTTTGACTTGCCCTTTTCTATTTACAATCTGTGCTAAACACTCCGCGGCGTCAATTTGAAAAGCAGAATCATTTAACAAAATGCATAAAATGTGCAAAATCTTTCCATCACCACACATGATATGATTAATTGACACCCATTCAACAAAACCAGTTAAAGTAAGTAATACAACTTGTACGACCCGACTATGTGCACTGGCCTTTTGAATATTACCCAGTGAGGTTGATTCTCTAAACGCAGTCACATGTAGTTCTATTAATCGCAAAAAAAATTCAAAAATTTCACTCATGTTGCTAGTTAAAGCGGCATAGATATCCTTACGGCGTTGGTTTGATTCAATAGTCTGTAAAATATATGCATTTTATATTTTGATATTTCAAGCATTCTTTCTTAAAATGTATTAATTTTACTAACTTGAAGTAATGCAACATCTTCAACCAATCGCAGAAATATCAATAAAACAAGTTCAGTTTGAGCTTCTCCCTTTGTGCATGCATCCGAGAGTTCTGAAAGTAAAGTTGTCCATTGCTGTGGCCATTCTCGCTTTATCATTTCTACTATAATACGCGAAAGTGCATCTTTCAAATGTGATAAAGAGGTATCTTCAGCTGGACCAACACCGGTTAATAAAAGTTTCATAGCATTTTCCTACGTAAAATATATAACCAAATATTAACATAAATTTTCATTTCGGAATTACTTCTGCGAATTCACCTTTATGAAAATTTTTTCTTCTTGTGATATAGTATTCCATTTCAACCTTATAGTATGCTCCATTAATTGTAAACCAAAGTGTTTTACGTTACTGTTATATTGTTGTCCGCCCGCTAAATACAACCCAGCTTGAGCGCATAACGGTGAAGCTTCTTTAAACTGTTCACAAGCTATATAGGCTTCCATGCGATTTGTTTGGGGTGTTACAGGATTCATAATTACTTCAATGGCTTGAGCTAATTCATTTGCTAAAGCTGGAATGTTCGGATTTTGCTCCATTTGTAGTAATTAATATTCAATCAACTGTTCACAAAATACTGAGCCAGACTTTTTCTGCAAAAACAATAATAAATCGTATGACACTTATTTCAAAACGATTTTGCTATATTTCGTAAGGTTAAATTTTTAAGGAACGACGTTAAAAATTATGATAGAGCAATTATTAAAATTTTAAAACAAAATTTGTTCTTTAGTATAAATAAAAATATGTTTTCAAATCATATTGATAAATTATTAAAGAAAACCGTATAAGTCCGCCAACATTACAAATTTTTTTAAAAACGTTTTCACCATGCGTTTTTTTATAAATACAATTTACCTTTTAAATTATTTTTTTTTTTTTTTGAAAAATGCATATATGCTCCAACATCAAAATGTTAGTAACATTGATTTTTTTCTTATTTATTTTTAATTAATATGTATAAAAAACTTAATAATAATGTAACTTTATCGAAAATTTAAGTAACTTCAGCACTTTAATGTAACAAAAACTGACCGGAGCGTCTTCTGCCTTTCTACCCTTAATTTAACTACATAGTATGTATATAATTTAATTTGACACTCCGACATGACAAGTTTATAAAGTAAATTTGACATTACATTGTAATGTAGAGAAGGGTTGAGTTGAATTAAATTCAAATCAAACCAACATACCAATTTGAAGCTCTAATTTTTGGAAGGGATGAGGCACTATACCTTTCACTACACTGTACCTTAAACTATTTTCGTTACAAATATGAGTTCTTTGGCTAAACCGAAGTATATCTTTTTTGAATATGAAAACAGATTAACGTGAAGAGTGACACGCGTAATAATTAACACACCTGCTTAGTCGAAGGTGTGTCATGTTTTTAATAGTGATCTTAACAATCTAAAAAAGTTCATTCTAAGTTTGCTATTCTTAAAAAGAAATTAAAGTTGTTTGCTTTGAATGCGATATTGTGTACTTGATATTATGTACATGACTTTAAAAAAGATCGAAAAATATTTTAGAACTTTGGATGGAATATCAAAAACAATGTTTTAATCGTAATTGAGTCCTGCAAGAAAAATAATTCTTCGTATTATTTGCCGTTTGCAGGACTTCTGATATACTGCCGTTTCGTCATACAAAATTATGTTTTGACATAACTTTTTCACGTTTGGAAATAACTCAGTTTTTAAAATATCATTCTGTATATTCCAGTAGATAAGATAAAATCAGTCTAAAGAAACTATTTTACACAAACGTTCAGTTTTTACACATACTGTTCCTTTTGTGAATTGGTGCTTAACTAAGAGTTCTTTCAATAAATCAGTATAAACCTTGGAATAACAAAAATATCAAGGATAAAAATAAAACGTTCTGTTATTGCGAATATTTGATAGTATTTTAAATTTTAAATATAGTGTTTATAAAATTTTAAATGTTGCAGCTCTACATATTTTTGTATGTATACTCTTAGAACGTAACGTAAATAATGACGTACGACGTACTAGTCTTATACTTCAGTACGGTCAATCATTAACAAAAATACAAAAAAATGGTAAAAAAATTTTGTGTACGCTAAAAGTTTGTTCCAGTTTTAAAATTTTAAAAGTTGAACATGCAATACGTTGCGTATTTAAATATATAGATTTTAAAATTTTTGACAGAAAATTTAGGTCTTACGTCGTAATTGAGTTTGGGTACTTAATAATAAAGTTTAAAATTCTTTTAACCTAATTGATAACATTATTAACATTATATAATTTAAATCATAATCATGTTTAAGTTTACAATCCTTATATTTTTAGCAATTATGTAGCTGTAAGCATGACATAATAATTTTATTTATTTACGTATTTGTTTTCAAATATTTGAAAATTAACGAATATATAATTTTAAAGTTGACTATTTCGAAGCTACTGGAATGCAACAAAATCTATTTATTACATTATATTAGCTTCGAGGTTTATTTTTTTTCTAATTGATTGAAGTATTTTTTAACTTTCTTTTCTTTGTGGTTTATAATACTACGCAGCTAAATAAGCGAACGAATGATATGCAGCTAAATAAGCGAAAATTTAGCTGATATGAATTTAAGTTTAAGTATGAATTATTATACTACGTGCAAGTATTGATTTTCCAATGTCCTACTAAAATTAAGTAAAGAAGGTATCACTTAAGAAACATCAAAATGTCAAAATTGACAATCACAAATTAGAATCCACATTGTTTTTTGACATTCGACTTTCAATTAGCTTCAGCTTTTGTATATAGTCAGAATTTCATATTGAAATTGGAAACAATCCAAATTTACTTCATCTTGTTTTAAGATTTTCAGTTTTTCGTGGATTTGCCGTGCGTTTGCATCGCCCTAAAATACATTTTTAGTAGAGATATTTTAAAGTTGACATTTTCAAAAATAAATAAAAAAATTTTAATATCTCTAAATAAAAATAAATCTGTGGAATAAAATTAATATTTAATTTAAAAAATGCTTTGATTTATTAAAAATAATTTTAGTGTAATTTAATTTTTAAAAATTTTTGCAACAGCAAAAAAATATAAAAAAAAAGAATAGTGATTTTTCAAAGAATAAAATTTTTTTGGTTTTGATTCCGAAATTTTTTTAGAAAAATCATTTCCTTATAAAAAAAGGTATTAGAACCAATAGCTTTTATTAAAAATTTGGAAAATTAGAGAAAAATCAAATTTTCAATTAAAAATTTGTTTATTCGAAAATTGCAAAATGAAATTTATAGGAATTTTATAATAGGAATGAATCTTCAATATCTTAATAGACATTTGGAGTCGATGTCAATTTATTGATTTTCATACCTACTACTTTTGGATTAAACATAAAATAAAAATTATTTTAATTTCAAATAATATTTGCATTTGAAACTTAACCAGTTTCAAAAAGACGGAAAATATTTTAAAAAGGTAAATTTATTGAAAAAAAATAATATAAAATTTATACGCCCTAACACAAAATTAAAAAAAAAACCATATTAAATGAAAACCTAATATCTAAGAAGTTTGAGTGTGTGTATGTTTGAATGTATTCGTTTTTGCATGTGGGTGCATTTTATTCAAACACTACAGAGAAAAAATGTAGAGTTGGGATGTGATAAATAGCAATTAAATTTATATTTGCCAACAAAACTGGGTTTTTATAGTTACTTTTATTTAGTAAAGTTTAAAAATATTTTTTTCTTATTTCGCTCATACTCTTGTGGCTATAGGAAAAAAGCTTGAGAATAATAAAAATCACAAAGATTTATTAAACTTAAAATTTCATACTTATTATCCATAGATGAGTACATGTAGATAGTGCTATAGAAATTTTATATGTATGTAAGAATAGTATAGTAAGAAATAGGTGAGAAACAAAAACAAAATAATATAAAGCAAAGTAGTAGTACCACTATGTTTTACGTTGTACAAAAATGTCAAACTACGTTTTGAATTGACGTCAACTTATTGTTTTTTGCAATGGTAACTCCTGTCGTTCACTAGTAAAAAAAATAGATAACACTTTTAATTTCCTCTGCATGAATGGAGTTTTACAAATAGAATAACTAACCATCTCGTCTTTTAAGCGTGTAAGTTTGATTATATAAAATATGTATGTACTTAGTACATTCATTTAAAAAATGCTTCTGAATAATATACATATGTAGGTACAAATGTGCATAAAATTTTTAGACAATATTTTTTATTGCTAAGAAAAATGTAGTTAATCAGGAAGCTATCTGCACTTAAATCTTTTACGGTGTCTTTTCTGTTAAGTTAATTGAGTTCTGAGGCTGCATATATTATATCAACAAATATTAAAACGAAGTTTTAGTTTGTATTTCCTAAAATTTTGAATTAGATTTGTTAATCTTAGCCACTTTATTGCAAACTTTAATTATTTATGTATGCTTTAAAATTTTTTAATTTAATGTTATTATAATACTTCCCTCACAATTTGGTGGGTAGCATACCTACAAAAGCAACGAAATTATTTAAAATTATGTAAAAAATTTATGAACACAGTCGAAACCGAAAATTACAAAAAAAAAAGAATTTTTATTATTTTCTTCAGCAACAAGAACATCATAAACCGTGAGTTGGAAACTGTATAAGAAAATCGATTAGTGTTTATAATAATTGACAAAAAGAAATATTCAGGCCTTTCAAAGGGCGACCAACGAGACTATATCAAAAAAAAATTATGTATTAGCATTGTGCAAAGCCTGAAGTTCAGGAGGCTTGTTTTAAATGAAAATCTTTAATTTAAAAGTAAAATATTTATAAGTTTTATAAATTTATAATTTATTTCTAATTTTATTCTAATAGCGTAATGAGCAAAAAATAAACATTTACAATTGTTTCCTTATTCACTTGAAAAATTGTCAATTACGTGATAATGTTAATCTCAGATACAAGAACCTGCCTACCTATCTACTGATTTATATTTAGAATCATTTCTGCATTTTTACCTATTTATCTACATATATTCAATATTAAATATTATGTAGGTTTTCGTCGATTTTCATTCAAATTTTTTTTTGTTTTCATTTTTCGTTTCACTACAAATTTTACTCCCAAAGTAAAATTTTTTTAGGTTTACCAAATACTTAAACAAAAATGAATATTTTACATCATAAAAGCTGGCACGTGCGAAATAAAGATAACATAGCACGCGTGAGGCGCGATGAAGCAAAAGCTGCAGAGGAAACAAAAAAGAAGGAAGATCAAATTTTAAGAGCAGAACGTGAAGCTAGAATTTCTTTTTTAAGAAATCAGCATTCTCAAAACAAAAGTAATGAAATTGATAAAACATTTTTAAATCAACAGAAAAATAATCAAGAACAAGAACCAGGTACTAGCAGTAAACCTGAGGGTCATTTAAATCTTTTTACTTTAAATTATACGCAGTCGAAGGCGAATAAGGAACATGAAATTGAAAAAAAAGAAGAAAAAGAAAAATACGAGAAGCAAATTGGTTATCTTACGTATTTAGGTCAATATCAAAACGAAAATCCCCATCTTAAACGGTGGTATGATATAGCACCAAAACGTTTCAATCCCGATTCTGAGATGAATGATGATGATGTTAAAGATGCTGAAAAGAAAAAATACCATGATCCAATGAAAATTTTTGTAGGCACATCAAAAAATTATAAAACAGATGAAGAAGACGCTAAAGAAGAAAAATCCAAAAACGATAACATAAAGAAGTTGAAAAAAAAGAAAAAAGAAAAAAAAAGTAAAAAAGAGAAAAAAAAATCTAAGGATAAGAAAAAATCAAAGGATAAAGATAAAAATAAAAAAGAAAAGCTAAGATTAAAAGCAATTGATATCCAGAAGTTGAGAGAAGAAAGGTTAAGAAGAGAAGCAATTGAAAGAAAGAGGGCAGATGAATTATTGAAAAATTTTTATAAAACCTAAGAAATTACATGAAACTTTTATTTGGGCCTATGTTTTTGTAAAACATACTACCTATGTATTTATGTATAATATAAACTTAACTAACTGTATAATGAATTTATGAAGATCTAAAAATGATCTCAAGCTTGTATTAAATTTATTTTTAATAAAACTTACTTAAAGAAATTACGGATAGAGTTAATTATTGGTTAACTTTTGTTACTTTTTCATTAGAAATATTCGGATTTGTGGGCATGCTAAATAATGGGTATGCTAAGCTAAAATTTGGTTAACGCGTTAATATGATCATATGTGTACATAGTATATGTTTATACATGACAATAAAAACTTGAATGAACCTTCATGTATGACTTGGAGTTTAAGAAAAAGAAATGTTCGTATCGGTGCCAAAACAAAAAAAAATTGATTACAATATTATAAAAAAAAAAGATCGATATCCATCCAATTCTGAATCTTGAAATTTATTTTTTTATTTAAATTTGTGCAAATTGAAATTTTTCTTCATAAAAACTTTTTTAATATTTTTTTCTTAATAATAAAAACAACTGAAAATAACATTTTCGAAATGGAAGGAATGGTGGGAGGAAAGGAAATAAAATATTTTTTCGCAAAAAGTCAATACATAAATATTATTAAAATTAAGTCGCAGTTATTCATATACCGAGAGAAATAAGTCGGCTTATAAAAATGTAAAAAGTAAAATATTTTTTTCATATACATACATACACATATAAAAAATTGAAATGTCAAAATAAGAATGAATGAATGAATGAAAATAGAAAATAGGAAATTTGAGTTGGTATGGTAGATTTTCGTGATTGTGTAAGTTTGAATCGAAACCGTAATATTGTGTGTGTAGATAATAAAATTTTGTCAATATATATTTATATAAGAATGTTATATAAATATATACACAAAAGTGAGGCAATTGCCATTACACAAACCAATGTGTGTAGTGCTATTACGTTATGTTATGCGCTAGCTATACATAATTATATATTATATTAACATTACCTTTTTAGAGCAAATATGACAGTATGTATAACATATGTAGGTATGTAGTTACATATGTACATTGTTTATGGCAAAAAAAAGTTTTTGTTTTGACTTGGTAACGTTGTTGTTATAAGGTGTTGGGAATTTTTTCCTGGCTAGACCCTTTGTACCGTTGTGGTTGTTCTTTAAACTAAAACTTAATCCTGAACATGAAAAAAATTCGGGATCGGAATTTTTTTTCTGTTTATTTATGTAATTTATAATTATTTATTTACTTAAACACTACTATTTAATTGTTAAATTTATTTACAAATGCAATGTAATTAAAAATAAAAAATAAAAAGTGTGCACATACATACATATTTAACGAAAGTTCTTTCTTGTTTACTACTCATACGTAACGTTCCTTAACGGAGGATATACATACATACATTGTTTGTATATACTTACATATATCAAAGTTTGCCGTATAATAATATATTAATTTTCATTTAGTTTAGTTGATGTAAAATAAATTTTTATTTTGAAATTACAATGACTCAATTAAAAATATTAGGAAAAACAGGGCGTGGGATTGTTGATCCTGCTAATATCAAAATTTCTTTGTGACATCCCTTCACGTATAAAATTTATGCAATCACAATAAAATAAATTATAAAATACTTATTAACTGTAATGTGTATCAACTCATTAACAAGTTTTCATTAGCATCTTAAAGTTAATGTAATAAATTATTAAAAAAAAAAAAAAATCGGGATCATAAAAAAATAAGTGGAATTAAAAGCATAATACTTAACAAATTTATTTTCAAATGGAGAAAACAAAAATATTTGATTTTTGGTATTTGACGTTTCTCTGTTTATAATACTGTTAGTGTTGCTGTTGTTTTTAAGAAGCTTGCCAAAAATTATACAAGTTTTCATTTAAATTTACCAGTCAAAAATAAATTATGTATTTTGCTTATACATACGTATACATACATATGTACATATTTATTGAGAATAAAAGTTTTCAACATAAAAATTCTTACTCTTTTCCTTCAAAAAATTGTTTTTTGTTTCAGATATTTTGTTTTAGATTTTAGGGCTATCCTCTACAAATTTCATAGTTTAAATTTATTATTCTACAGTTTACATTTCGATTCTGATAATTTAAAAGTATAGGTTACCCTTCTAAACAAAAAGTCGAATTTTTATTGGACAATTGTGTTACAAGGAACCGAAGGCGCAGTGCGTAGGGTACCTCCTTTTCATTTAAAAAATTTTAAGTTCAACATTAGATTTTGATTAAAATCTAAAAAAAATAATTTATAATATTATAAATCACAAATTTTTTTAATTGTGAAAATCGTTGTGAAAATAACATTGTTCCATTTATTTTCTGTCACCTATATAAATTATTTGCATTAATTTCTTAATTATACGTAAATATTTTAAATAAGATGTATTACTTTTTAATATTTTAGTGCAAGTGTGTTTCCTTTATACGCCTAGTATATGTATTCAAATGGTGTGTGTGCATGAACGTATAGTTTACAAAAAGTTTATATTTGCATTTCTCTTTTTTGTACAAATGTCATTATTACCGTTATTTTCTGCTTTGTGTTGATGCGCAGATTCATAGTTCATTTGTTTGTCATTTTATCGTTTCTGTAATTTCTAATATGGGCTACGGTATTATTGTTTTTATAACACTTACCTAATCAAGACACTTTTCTAACTACGTTATGTATACTTAAAATCAGTAGCTTAACTCTTTAACCATTAAGAGGAAGACATAGCTTAGCTTCAAAACTTGTGTTAAGGTAAAAGTTAAAAAGTTTAAGCAAACAAGCAAATTTATATGTATGTATATTTTTTTAAGTTTTAAACGAAAGTCTTTTCTTAGATAAATATTTATCTATATATTTATCTATATTTCTTCGAGCATTGGTTTTATCTATATGTTTATAATACTAATTTTTACGAAAATTTGCAAAGAATTGCAATTAGTCTTACCTTGGTCGAAAACTTAATTTGTTGTTTTATACTGTAAGGAAGTTTTTTAAAAGTAATAAAAGTTTCTAACGTTTCTAACGCTATTTTTCTAGGAGGAATTTTCCTCATTCCGTAACTTTTTCAACATCCGTAACTTTTTGCAACCTAGCATGAAAGAAAAATTACTTGTACTTGTTACATGAGGTTCCAATGTATTCATTTATGATTTGTGCTTTTAGTAATTTTCTTTATTTTTCATAGGAAAAATTTAATATATAAATTTTTTTATATACTATTAAAGTTTATAACAAAGCTGTATTTCTGTCAGTTTACAAATTTTTAAAGTTACGATTCATACGACTATGAACATACTTTTATACCATTTTTTGTAATATTTTTTATCAATGTGAATCTTTAGATTTTCATTTCAACTCATAAAATACGGCTAACAGATTGCCTATAAAAATCGTCATCATTTGATAAGAAAGGTAAAGGAAATGATGCAGATTTAGTAAGGGTCAGAGTTTATTAGCAAGAGGCAAAATTAACTTTACGGAAAAATTTGTTATAAACATAGTAATTCCCTAAAAAACGTCACTTCGATATAGAAAAATTCGACTTGTTAAAAAATTACCATTTCTTCATTTTAAGTATTTTTTTATTACTTAAAATGAATTTATTTTACTCAAAATTGAAGATTAATTTTTTTACTTTAAGTACAAAAGTTAGATATGAACATCGCTTTTTGTCATTTCGCTTAAAGTTGTAAATGTTCGATTCCAAAAACCACTCTCAGCGAGAGATTGTTCCATAGATACTTATTGTGTTCCTAAATGATTTGAAATAAACATGATTTTTACGTACATTGGCTACATCTTGTGATTTTTTAAAGTCATTAATTTTCGGAAATACATTTTCATATTTGTTGTTTTTTTCTATTTTTCATATCCGGAGTAAAGCTTCTACATATATACATATCCATATGTACAATTTATGTATACTTCTATTTGCACATATAAGTATGTGTAAAATACATATATGTATGTATATTAAATGTATAATCCACGTAAATGCTGCAATACTTTTTATAAAATGCATTCATTTTTGGAGACGAATTCGCTAATTCTAATAAATAGTTGCAGTTCTTTTATATTTTGCATTTCTAGGTTTTAAACTATTTTTAGATAAGTAAATATGTCAATTTTCCAGCACAAAGATCACTCTACTTCGGAAATAACCACAACATTAACATTTTCTCTCTTCATTTCTAATTTTAATAATGCATACATTCTAACATTACATATTTGAAACAAAAAAATCATTATTGGGATTAGGAAAAATCGATTTATTTATAATTATATTAATTTTTAATACAGGAAAGAAATTGATTTTCAAGGGTTAGCATAATAAATTATAATATTGTTCATTGATTTATTTCAATGAGTATTAGTAAGGTTCTGTGAATAACTAAAAAAGTACATATATGTATGTATAAAATTTTGAACTAATATGTTTCCATATTGAAGAGAAACTTGAATTTCATTTAGCATTATTTTTTGCACTATTGTCTATCGAATTCTACTAAATCACAAAATAACTAAAATTTTTATTCGATAATTTAAGCATTTGGCGATGGAATTTTAGCATGAATCACTTGGTCAAGAGTCGAGTCAATTGGACTAAGATAGTTGCATAGTAGTCATCTTATTCTATTAGTCTAAAATGCTGTCACTGCTTTTTTACATTGCGTCGAAAAATGTCATATTTTTCGATTTAAACTCTTTCAGCAATAGCACAATTTTTATTATATGAATTTTTTTTGTATAAATATCAAAACATGACACTCAAATTATTTGACTGGGAGTTAGGTGACAGAACTTACATATATGACAATTAAGTAAATATTTTAAGTGACTGTCAGAATAAACAAAAAATTTTTAAATAAAAAAAAAACGTAAATTATGGGATAAAAAAAGCCATTACACGAGTAATAAATACAATTTTTAGTTTTAAAACAGAAAATTGTACTAAAAACTTGTTTATGTTGTCAAGTTTAATGGCAACAACAATCGAATTATGAACAAACAATTACAAATATTTTAATTATCAATTGATTTTTTGAACTCGCAAAAAAAAATACATAAATAAATGTCAAATTCTGAAATGTAATTAACCAAATTTGATATGCCTACGAGTTTTGGCTTTTCCCAAAATTTATAATAAGTATCATTAATTCATTCATTTACATAAGTATATATATGAAATATACGAATATTTGTTAGTGATTAGTTTTAATTAAATATGTTCAGAAATCTAAAAAATACGTGCATATTCGTGAATTTCTTAATAGACTCATAATTTTTTTTTAATATTCATAATAACTTTTAG